CCCTCCCTCCCTCCCTCCCTCCCTGCCTCCCTCCCTCGCGTCCTCCTTCAGCCTTGCCACGCCCATCGCCCGGCTCTCCCATACGGTCTGCAGTATCGCCGACCTGCTCCTAGACATCCTCCATCCCTCCCCCCTGCCCTCCCTTCCTCCTTCCCTCCCTCCCTCCGAGCGTTCCTCTTTGGAAAGACGTCACCGGCACCGACATCAACTTCAAGAACAAGTTTTTGTCTCCCTTCAGCGCCGCATTCAAAAAGCCATGTCTATGTCGCCCTGCTCCTTGGTCCTCCCGGGACTCCTCCACCTTCTCCTCCTCCTCTTGCGCGCCTGGCCGTTGCATTTTAGGCGGCTGGTGGTCGAGGTAGCTTTCTTTTCCTGCCTTCCTTTCCTCCTTCCCTCCCTCCTTCCCTCCCACCCGCCCTCTCCTTCTCCTTTTCACTCTTCGCTACGTGTTGTTTACAGTGGTTCCTCCCCCTCCCTCCCTCCCTCCCTCCCTCCCTCCCTCCCTCCCTCCCACCACGACTTCAGGGTCCTGACTCCATCCCTTCTGTGCTTCTCCAAAAAGCTCTGGAGAAAGATGACAGGGAGGGCGGGAAGGAGGGCGGGAAGGAGGGCGGGCTGGAATCCAAGCCCTGGTTGACGGCGGCGATCCTCCTGTGGGACCTGCTCGCGCAACCCGTTCCACTGCCTTCGAAGGGAAAGAAAGGAGGAAAGGGAGGAGGAAGTGGAGGAGGAGGAGGGGAGGAAGAAATGGACACCAGGGAGGGGGAAAAAGAGGAGGAGGGAAGGGAGGACGGGAGGGAGGAAGGGGAACGCCAACCGCTCCTACCTCACTCCTTCCTGGACGAGTGCCTCACCCTCCTCCTTCATCTCCTCCACCTGGCGCCTCCCAACCCTTTCCTTCTCCAAGCCACCTTAACTTTCCTGGCCCGCTTGCTCTCCTCCGACCGTTACGCCCGGCGTGTCCGAGAGAAACGTTCCCTGAGCTTGCTCTTTGCCCTCCCTGCCGCAGGCGTCTTCCCTGGCCACACCGCCCTGGTACTGACCATCTT